ATAGACTACAGGGCACTTAATAAAATCACTGTAAAAAATGCATACCCTATCCCACTCATTTCCGAATTGTTCGATAGACTTCAGGGAGCTAAAGTATTTACTAAGCTTGACCTTAGGAGCGCTTACAATTTGGTTAGAATTAAAGAGAATCATGAGTGGAAGATGGCATTTAATACCCGTAGTGGACACTATGAATATCTGGTAATGCCATTTGGGTTATGCAACGCCCCGGCCGTATTCCAAGACTTTATAAATGATGTACTCAGGGAATTCATTTACTCATTTGTCTTGGTTTATTTGGACGATATTTTGGTGTATTCCCCTGATCTTCAAACTCACCACTTCCATGTGAAACAGGTTCTGCAGACGTTGTTGAAAAATAAACTTTATTGTAAATTAGAAGTGCATATTTGACCAGCCTGAAGTCCACTTTTTGGGTTAAAACATCTCTGCATCGGGATTTCAAATGGATCCTAAAAAACTAGAGGCTGTACTACACTGGCCATTACCCTCTGGTTTAAAAGCCATTCAAAGGTTTATTGGTTTTGCCAACTATTACAGAAGATTCATCAAGGGATTTTCTTCTGTAATAGCCCCAATCACAAATATGACTCGCAAAGGGGTTAGTAGCACAGTATGGTCCAAAGAGGCTGTGAATGCTTTTGAGACTCTTAAACAAAGATTTGCCTCTGCGGACATACTAAAACATCCCGACACTAGTAAACCTTTTATATTGGAGGTTGATGCATCCGAGACAGGGGTAGGGGCTGTTCTCTCTCAGAGAGAAAGCCAGGGAACACCATTGCATCCTTGTGGCTACTTCTCCAGAAAGATGTCTCCTGCTGAGCGCAACTACGATATTGGCAATAGAGAACTGTTGGCCATTATTCTTGCCCTCAAGGAGTGGCGACATCTTTTGGAGGGTTCCAAGGACCCCCTGTTGATCATAACCGACCACAAAAATCTGGCATATATAGGGGATGCCAAACGTTTGTCTTCCAGACAGGCTAGATGGTCACTGTTCCTTTCACGTTTTAACTTTCTCATTACTTATAGACCTGGTTCTAAAAATACCAAGGCTGATGCCTTGTCCAGGCAATTTGATAATGAGTCAGCTCCAGAACAGGTGACATCTCCTATTATTCCACCAGAGTGTATTATTGCCACTACTGTCCTCTCACTGTCTTCTCCACTGCTTGGCACCATACTGGAGGCCCAGCCTCAGGCGCCCAGTGGTAAACCGTGTGATAAACTGTTCGTTCCCCTATGTGAAAGGGTTAATATCATGAAAGTGTTCCATGACAATATAACTGCTGGACACCCGGGCATCAATAAGTCCACTGCCGCGATCACTAGATCATTTTGGTGGGATTCACTCAGGAAAGATGTAAAGAAGTATGTGCAGGCATGTTCTGTGTGTGCAATTTCTAAGGTGACTCATGCACTTCCTTGTGGCCTGTTGCAGCCTCTTCCTGTTCCTGAGATTCCATGGTCCCACTTATCCATTGACTTTATTTTTGAGCTTCCTAGCTTTGCTGGGTTCACTACTATTCTCATGGTTGTAGACCGATTTTCTAAGATGGCTCACTTCATTCCTCTCAAGAAGTTGCCATCTTCGCAAGATTTGGTCCTAATTTTCATACGTGAAATTGTCCGTTTGCATGGCATCCCCCACAATATTGTGTCTGATAGGGGCTCTCAGTTTGTGTCCAGGTTCTGGAGGGCGTTCAGTAAACAATTGGGGATTGATCTCTCCTTCTCCTCCTCCTACCATCCACAGACCAATGGTACAGCTGAGAGGGCTAACCAGTCATTAGAAGTTTATTTGCGTTGTTTTATTAATAGCACACAAGACAATTGGTCTGAACTACTCCCGTGGGCCGAGTTCGCTAGAAACAATGCTGTTCATGTCTCCTCTGGGCACAGTCCATTTTTTGTCAATAATGGTAAGCATCCTACGGTTCTCCCTGCGGTATTTTCTGATACTGCCATTCCTGCTCTGGATGAGCGTCTGGCCTCCATTCGGGATACCTGGGTTAAGGTTCTAACTGCTCTAGGGGCTGCTGCTGAACGCTTCAAACATTTTGCTGATAAGCGTAGGAGTGCCAACCCGGTGTACCAAGTGGGGGACTGGGTTTGGTTGTCATCTCGCAACATCAAGCTTAAGGTCCCTAGCATGAAGTTTGCCCCCAGATTCCTTGGTCCCTATAGAGTGCTTCGTAGGATCAATCCAGTGTCTTACTCTCTGGCTCTTCCTGCATCTTTAGGGATTCCCAACACTTTTCATGTGTCCTTACTCAAACCTCTTGTCTGCAATAGATATACTGTTCCTTGTGTTCCTCCCCCTCCGGTGGTGGTGGGTGGTCAGAAAGAGTATGAGGTATCTTCTATCGTGGATTCTAGGTTTTCTCGGGGCACTTTACAGTACTTGGTTGTTTGGAAAGCTTACGGTCCTGGTGATTGTTCTTGGGTTTCGGCTCCTGACCTGCATGCGAGCCATAAGATCCGCGCTTTTCACGCTAAATTTCCTCTCAAGCCTGGTCCTGTCCGCCCGGTGGGCGTTCTTCAGGTGGGGGGTAATGTCACGTATTCAACCGCTTATAGAAATGTAGTTAATGACATTTACTGTCCACACAGGAAAAGTTGTGCCGAGCAGCAACCTAATCCACAGAAGGTTTAATGCTGAGCAGTAATTGTGCAAATGAAACCTGGTGTCATGTATTCATTCACTTATAGAAAAGTGGTTAATGACATTTACTGTCCACACAGGAAAAGTTGTGCCGAGCAGCAACCTAATCCACAGAAGGGTTAATGCTGAGCAGCAATTATGCAAATGAAACCTGGTAACTGACTTTGGGGTCAAAGGCCGGTTACAGCCTATCAGAACTAAAGGAGGGGTATTTAGGCCCAGTTCTCAGCCTGCTCAGTGCCCTGTCGTGGTTTCCCTTGTGGTTGTCCGAGAGCGCGTTCCTGTTTATAGTTTTCTACCTGGTTTTTGACTTTGGCTTTGTTTATTGATTTCTCTATATTCTGGTATCCTGACTCCTGGCTTTCCTCATCGCTGTGTCCCTTTCTGTGTTCCCTGACCTCGGCTAGTATTTTTGACTATTCTTTGTACGTTAAATCCGGCCATTCTAAGGACCGGTAATACGTTACTTATTTGTCATCTGTGCTGTACAGTTCTACGTGCTGGATCAAACAGTAATTGAACAGTTAGTCTGTTCAACTAAATGTGAGTAACCACTTGGTTTTTTATCTTCTCACCTCTGGTATTTTATACTTTGAGCACTATTGCTGTTCCCGCTTTTATTTCCACATATGGTTCCCTAATTAAGAAAGAATACTAAGACCTCACGTATCCCATAAGTGGGGATTATACCACTGTACGTTATCAACACTAGAGCTAAGTCCATAGCTCTTTGTTGGGGATAAAATCAGCCTGGGCCCTTTGTGGATGATGGATATTTGCCAACTCATACAGAGCTCTGGAAATTGGAAATGAATAGCAGAGACGTGTTCAATAACCAATTCAAATTGTATTCATACGTCAGTTATATTTATAACCCATTTTCATAGCAGGATGGGAGGGGGAAAAATGACCATATGGGCGTGACAATGACATTGTTTTTCACAAGTTATAAACAGCTGTTTTTAGTTATAATTCGATGTTACATAATGTATGCATATTGGATAAAACCCAGATGATTACAAATACAGAAATCTTGGACAATTAACAAGGTCATTCCAGAATCCTTATCATGTCATGTCATGTCATGTCGTGTCATGTCATGTCATGTCATGTAAATATCATTTTCCAGGAACATAACAAAGTTTCAATAACATTTCTGAGAATTGGAGATACAATTCCAAATTTATTCTTGATTCAAATTAACCCTTACATGAACAGTTAGGATATAGAGCAAAATGGATATTCGCATCTACAATTCCCCTCTTAGATCATATCATGATCTACCTTATGGAATATCCATGGGAGGCCTGCGGCAGAGAAACGAAAGGAGGTATATTCAGACGTGCTAATCACGTCTGCGGGACTTTCCTTATTTCTTCACCTCGATTTCCCCCATTTGCTCTATGCCGTAGGTTTTCCCTTTAAGAGGAGATCGAGCTGTCGATTTTCAGCTTCTGTAATCATCTGTTGTACACATCTTTTAAGTGTACAAGTTAAATATTTCAAACAGCTGACATCTTAACTGCACATCATGTTATCTGCAACTTGAGCCTTGGATCAAAACAGGCAAAGTGTATTATTCCCAACAACGGGAATATTATTACTATAATTTACAACGTAAACACATATAATAAAAAATGGGAATAAAATCTATTTCCCCTCTTTGGACCAGGGTCTTGGATTACCAGTCCACCCAGTGAACTTGGGCCAGGTCAAAAATCCCAGTGGCAAAAACTCATAATTGAGAAAAAAAGCACATCTGGGTAAATTCTAAGTGAGGGCCATGACTGTGTAGACATGTCATCCCCTCACATTGACAGCATTAGTGACTTATAAAACCTGCACTATGTAAGTAAATAGCTCAGGTATCGGGATTGGGAAACACTTCTTGATTAGTTTGAAAAGGCCCACTTACATATTAAATCATAAGATCATTTCTAATCAGTTTGCAATTCTAGCAATAATCCCAATCATGACCTTGCGTCCTATGCCTCCTAATCAAATCCCTATTTCGATAGTCCAGTCATATCCACACTTAATACATTGGAATCCATCCTTGGTACACTCAACATACATCAATGACACACATAGTACATCCATGCCTGAGTAAGCTAACACTTCCTCTCTCTCCGGCTAACTCTACAAAAATAAAAATAACAAAATAGTTCAATAGTCCAGCATAGTCCAGAAAAATATTATAAGTCTTTCAAGGAGTATAAAGAATCTTAGACACCATAAACTTTGTTCCATAATCTTAGACACCATAACATAGCTAAGGGTAGCAATATGGCTGACAACAAGACAATGTCAGCTTCCACATAGTTCTTAATTCTTCTGTTTGCTGGATGTTCACCACAATACTCTGTGCAACACCCCAATTGTTGAAAGGGTAATACAGAAATAGCGGCAATAGACAGCACTGCATCTTCAGGACTTTCCAAGTTAGTTTATGTCCTCATAAGTAAGCATCTCAGTTTCTTCGGCCAGCATGGATTTTGACCAAACAGATTTAATTGCAAAAAAGGTAAGTAGGCAGGTAGGTCAGCCAGAGAGATTGGTGTGTAGTCCCAAATATCAGGCAGCACAAATACTCCAGTACGGTCTCTATAATCATACAAACACAAGGATCAGTACGACATCAATAAATTAATTATCTAGGCTAAACTCAAATTAGAGACTAAAGTTAAACTCTTAACTAGTGTAACATGTACGTCTCTCAGTTTTGCTTATAATTCATTGAATTTGTCCTTTATAAAATTTTAATACATAATTTCCCTTTAGAATGCCTTGTATGGATGAGAGAAGCACTCATTCTATATAAATGCTTGTTGAGTACTAAAACACTAACATATACATATTGGTATAATTCCCAATAAAATGCTGTTCTTAAACTTAAACCTTGATTTGATAATCTCAATTAATTACTTTAATAAAATTTTGTGGACCCTGATAACATCTTTGGAAACCGAAACCTTTTATAGATCCCGATGTGTGTGATCATGTTTTAATACATGTTGGAACCTCCATACAGTTATCCCACTTAAACAATATATTTTTTTTCAGAACAACTAGGAATGAAATAGGAGAAACAAAATAAATTACTATTGTTCTAAAGTGCTTTGTTTAATACAGGTTTCGGAAGAGTTGTCTTGCTGTGTTGCAAGTGGCCTCTGATAAGGAAGGGACAGCAAACTGTAGGCATATGTTATATTAAGTTGCTCTCACTTGTCAGGTCTTGGAAACCCACTTAATTTATTGCAGATGCCTCTATTATACCACTTTACAAATTGACTAAGCATACTTATTATCCTATTTTATTTTAGTTATTTCACATTGCACAGCCTATGCAAACAATGTCTAGGTCCCAACTTCAGCTTGTACATCCTCTAAGTGCCAGCATTAATACTGCTTTATCTATCAAAACTATATATAAAGTATTAAAAACATGAACCATCTGTGTATTAGGCTGAGGTTGTTGGGTGTGGGTATAGCTTGAAAGTTGTGGTTGGTATTGAGGAACCTGCCAGGGTGGGAGTCCTTGAATGCCAGCTGGGCCAGGAGAACACAAGCACCTTGGGGTGAATCCCTGCTACCCACAATTAAAACAGTACTGAAGTTACCATCTCTACAAAAGTTAAATCCTTTGATCAAATTCTCTACCTCTGCCTCTAAAACTTTTCTGATTCAATCTATCACCTCCAAACTTTCTTTGTCTCGCCTGCTTAAGATCACAATCCTTTTGTGACCGATACAACATACTTTTCCCTCTTTCTTTATATCCAAAACAACCTGCTGTATCTTTCTCATGAATCTTCCCAAGAAATTCAGTTCAAAGAGGGCCAGTCACAGACCAACAGTTTGACCAAAAGTGAACAAGGAGGAAGCATATTCCATATGAAGGTCGAGATGACTTAACTCACACCCCCTCTTTGTGTACACCTATTTGTGTACCACACAGATATAATATTAATAGGCTTTTGAAGATTTATTGTGCATGTATAGCACGGTTGTCTAGGGGTGTATACATAAACAGTGAAAGCAGAGTCTTCATATGGGGTTTGCAATACTGACAGTCTGTGTCATAGGTGTAATACAGACATGCGGTTAGGAACTTTTCCATTGTCAGAACACTAATATATTGCAAATATTAAAATCATATTGCATATTGCTGTTTCCTATACCTGCAAGGATATGGTTGTAATACTTCAATTGAGTTCAAATTGAGTATCAAAAATTCTAACCACAAAAACTAAATTTCATATGCTTATCAAAATGAGTTTAACCCCTTAGTAATTTAATAGGGTGACCTCTTCCCATAGTATGGTTCCTTTTATTATTATTATATTATTTATTCTCTTCTGGGTCTGCAAAATGCTTTCAATATACCAATACAAATATAATACAGTAGTTTAGAATTGCCTCAAAAGAAATTATCTGATCTCTATTAAAAATACAATTTCATCATTTTCCTATAATCAATGAGGCATACTAGATGAATCTTAATCTTGGAAAAAACCTATCCTATACATCCATAATTTTTCTTGTTATATAACCATCTAACATAACACATTTTTCTTTTCTTAAATAATGCAATGCACTTTAAAAGTAGCGTTAACTCTAAATACTCCCCTAATAATACTGAAACGTGGATCCACGATTTTGAAAAGCAAATGATATATTTTTTCTTTTTCTTTCCCAGGGGCCCCTTTCTTGTTGGCTGATCAGCGTTTTTTTAAATCTGTTGTAAAAAGACACTAAAGGCTTGCGTTAATGACATGCAAATATTCTTTAAATATTCTTCATACTCATTGTAATATCACACATCATCTTATAGCACAGAAAACATGTAGCAGATATCCAGCAGACATGCCAATACAAAAAGCATATTCATGGACAGGCAATTAACTCAATCCAAAATAAATTAATAAATGTCACACTATGTGACGGACATAATTTGGTTCTCATATTTGTGTATTATGCATGTCTGCAAACTATGCAAGCAGTACTGCTTTAAGATTAGATCAGAGCACCTGGCAACTGGACAGGAAAGTCAAATTTTGGCAGGAAGTCCATTATTGCAACAGAATTTTGGAAATCAGCTAAAATTTACAAAAACAGACTCCCTCTTTTTTTCTTTCTTAAGACTACAACTCATATTGCTCTTGGACAAGTATTCAATAATAAATCAGTTATTTAATAGATTATTACGCTGCCATTTTCATCTGTATCAATACTAAGACAAACTTATTCAAATATAATTTAAAATAACACAGCAAAATACCCATTAACATACATGACAATTAAACTGCACACTTCAAAATGAGTAACCAAAACAAACATTTATGACAATCATCATTCACACAGAATAAACTTCTAACAGCTGTATTCAGAACATATTATTGTAAGGTATACCAATTTTAGTTTGTATTGGATTTATTTAAGATTTCTGGTACCAAAGGGTTTATTTTTTATTTTTTACAGAAGGGATCCCGTACGGCCATATAACGCGTTTGACTTAAACATTTGTATAACACTTGCATTAACCAGTTGCAACATATGTACCCTGTCAATGGAATTTCTCTCTTATACGCTTATAGAACATTTGGACCAGATTACACAGACATGGTATCACCTGCATTTGTCAGAACTCTCAAAGACTCAAAATATTTATACTACTCCATGTTAAAGGCATGGCAAAATTTTGACCGGTCAATTTGAGTTTCCAAAAGTCATATCAACACAGGTAAAAACCTTTGTCCATGGTTTTCTGATCCTACATTCCATGACCAAAATTTCAAACCCACTTCTTCACAGTTTGGGTCGCAAGCAATAAAATCTCAGCAACCCCATACAATAATTTACAGAATACATACAATTTAAAGCACATACAACATGTGACGTACTGGAATACTACAAGTTAGCTTACAGCACAATATGAAGCATGTGTTGGAACGCTGAAAATATACATTTTTCTCTCTAATTCATAATCATCTAAATTTACAACATAAGTTCTCTGCAACAAACACTCAGGGCAGAAAGAATGTGGTGTTTGACGTTTTGAATGAAGTGACTTTTTGTCCCAATATGAAAATAAAGGGCTCATCATATAAACAATCATACATCCCACTCTCATGAAAAAGTGTAGTGGGCTTATAGTACTTTTGACCAAGTATAAAAATAAGGGCTCATTATGCAAACAAACATACATGCAGAGAAATCATGTTAGTTCTAGAATTTTTAGCCCCCCTTAAATAACCTCTAGTTTTTTTCTTATTCCTCATCACCATTAGATGTACTTTTTACATTCCCTCAATTAAGACTTTATGCTTAAAATTAGCGTTGCACATCATAAAATAGCACATAAATTAGCAAGCCGGAGTAATGCCAAACATCCATCATACCTTTTAACCCCCCTTTTTTTTTTTTTTTAATAACCATTTTAGTCTGAAAAATTGACATCTACGTTAAATAAATACCACAGTCCACCAAAGACTGGAAATCTGTTTTACAACCTACCAAAGGCAACCTCTACCAAAGAGGGATCTAGGGACGTCTCCCATATGTAAATGTACATCACAGGTACATCACAGCCTACCAAAGGCTTGAAATTATTTTTAACACCTGGCCAAAGGTGAACCTCTTACCAAAGAGGAAATGTGCACAATAACTACTACTACCTACCAAAGGCAATCCTCCAACCCGTGGAGTAATAGAAGTCTACCTAAGACTTAACAAAATACCATGTCTACCAAAGACATTATCCTGTGAAAATCCCCTTTAAAAATGTAAATAGTGAAAACCCCATTAAAACAAGAAATGCAATGTGTGGGAGGATGGCAGAAGCAGGCAAAGGTCCCCAACCCCTTAAGGACACACGACAGAAATACTCCGTCATGATTCCCTTAAATTCCAGAAGTTGTGTCCCCAAGGGGCTAAAGACCCCCTTACCTGCAACTCCGTTCCTAATTGCACTCCCACTTCTGACACCAGTTTGTTGGGGATAAAATCAGCCTGGACCCTTTGTGGATGATGGATATTTGCCAACTCATACAGAGCTCTGGAAATTGGAAATGAATAGCAGAGACGTGTTCAATAACCAATTCAAATTGTATTCATACGTCAGTTATATTTATAACCCATTTTCATAGCAGGATGGGAGGGGGAAAAATGACCATATGGGCGTGACAATGACATTGTTTTTCACAAGTTATAAACAGCTGTTTTTAGTTATAATTCAATGTTACATAATGTATGCATATTGGATAAAACCCAGATGATTACAAATACAGAAATCTTGGACAATTAACAAGGTCATTCCAGAATCCTTATCATGTCATGTCATGTCATGTCGTGTCATGTCATGTCATGTCATGTAAATATCATTTTCCAGGAACATAACAAAGTTTCAATAACATTTCTGAGAATTGGAGATACAATTCCAAATTTATTCTTGATTCAAATTAACCCTTACATGAACAGTTAGGATATAGAGCAAAATGGATATTCGCATCTACACTCTTGAAAACGTGAATAGGACCATATACTCTTTTATTGCTTCTACCCCCTTTGGGACATACTATACCATCAGTTGTTATTTTTCATTTCATATGATGTACAAAGAGGCATCTA